CTGTTGGATGATGTTTAAGGCCAAACACAAGGGTGCACTTCCATTTGCTTGTCTGGTTCAGAGGATATTGGGTCACTTTGGTGTTCCCATGGACAATGTGACCTTGAAGAAGACCACAAGGTATAATTGCAAGTTCGGAAAGCGTCTACTGGAGCAGTGCAAGATGACAAAGAACAGGGCGGGTGTGTGGCAGTTCACAGGTGCGGTTGATGTTGAGGTTCCTGATGTTGCTCCACATGCAGACATGGTTGAGCCCAAGGTGGAGGATGATGATGACGACGATGATGAGACTGACTTGCAGGATATAGCTGAGCTTGAGGGTGGGTTTTCATTGCGTGATGTCATGAAGGGCATAAACGCCACGCTGAAGAAAATATTTAAAATGGCGCTGAAACATAAAAAATAGAGGAAGAGTCACATCCAGAAAGAGAATGAAAGGTTTAGACACATACAGGGAAGGTTCAAGGGTGTTGAAGATAGGCTTGCTCGTCTAGATCTTGCACGAGGACAACAGGTTGAGGATGTTGCAGGGGAGGGGGCTAATGTGTCAGATGAGGATGACGAGGAGATGGCGTCCGAGGAGGAGGGGGATTAGATTTAGGGTTTATGTTTTTATTTTACATTTGTAGTTTATGTTGTTATGTAATTGACTTCGGTCTTCCTATTTGACATTTGTAGTTTATGTTGTATTATGTTTAGGGGCTGAACTATTTAATGTTATCAAGTTTGTTGTCAAAATCCATGTTACTTATTTATGCCATTTTCATTGTTTACCACATGAACGAATAATGGTACTTTTCCATGAAATTTATCAATTTGGGTCTAATCAAAGCCCAACAGGTCTAAAATGTCCAATGCAACTCAAAACAGTCACTAATAAGAGAGTTAAATGAGTTTACCAAGTTTCGGGTATCCTAAACCAAGATTTAGCCAATACGTGGACATTTAGGGTTTATAACAGCCACGATACTTTTTTGTACCTCAAATTGTGTTCCGTAAGTCATAATATGTGTGTACATTAGTGTACAATCGGTGCCAAAACAAAAAAATTCGAGGAAAACAGAATTGGGTGCCAAAACCAGTTATGTAGTCGATCAACCTGTACTGGTTTTATCGACTAGACAGTGTAGTCGATGAAACCAGTACAGGTTGATCGACTACATAACTGGTTTTGGCACCCAATTTTGTTTTCCTCGAATTTTTTTATTTTGTCATCGATTGTACACTAATGTACACACATATTGACTTAGGGAACACAATTTGGGGTACAAAAAAATATTGTGTCCTTCGTATGCATTGTTGGGTACGTATTGATGGAAACCGTTTGTTTACGCTCCCCGAAACTTGGTGAATTCATTTTGGGGTCAAATTAGTAATTGTTATGAGTTGCAATTTATCAAGTCCACCCTGTTATGCTATGGTTTGGACCAAAGTCACTAATTTGAATAGAAAGCCATCAGGCAAACAACATAACGTAACATAAAGTTTAGGGTACTGTCACATAACAGAATTACATGAACTAAACCATAAACACATTAGCCCCCTCCCATGGTGTCCACTAACATCAACTTCAGAAATACATGCATAACATTGGTTCAACTCTGTCTAATCCTCACAGGACATGTACGTTTATTGTGACCAATTTGTTTGCAGGTGCTACATCTACTTTGACTGCTTGTGGGTTGGGACTCAACCCAATCCATCTCATTTTGTATCCTTGAAGACTTCGGTCTTCCTTGTGCACGTACCAAAGATGCATTTGGGATTATAGTTGGACCATCTATTTTTGGAATCAATAACTCATTACCTATTGGATACCAATGTGCAACATAGACCTTCTCAATTTGTGTAATTGAGAACACAGGATCGACATAGTCATAGTGGTTCAATTTTTTAACCTTGCACACCGCTAGCACGTGACTGCAAGGAAATCGTCTAGCTGTGAACCGTCCACATTGACATTTACGATTTAGCAAGTCCACCCTCATAATGTCGCCGACATCATGCGTAGATTGATTGTAGGCATCCTCAACTTCAAACAACTGCAAGTCTCTATCAAAAACACGCACACGGAGACTCACAGTTAACTGATCATTCTTTTGTATGAAGTCCTCAACCTTTTTTGCAATTCTCCAGCCTTTTGTATTCATTTAAAAACTTTAATTTACTATCTTACCACTGCTAACAGGGTCAACACGGAGTGGTGGCATAACCTGAGAACTAAGGTTTCCTGAACTTGTGTCAGCGTCAAAATTCCCCTCTATGTCCGTATCTGAGGTGTTACCCAGCGGAATAACACTCTCTGGTTCACCGTCGTCATCACTGTCCATATCCTCCTCATGCTCATCCTCGTCTATTTCTCTCAGTGTTATCTGACTTAAGACAGGTGCAGGTGCAGATAAACCGACCACTCTGTCTTCTTGACTCTGACTTCTTTCATGCATAAGTGCATATGAAGATTGACCACAATCTATTTCAACATATATCTCAACAAAATTTTGAAACTTTCGATCCACAATTGCATCTAAGACACATTACACATCGTCATTGTCACATATATCATTACCAATGTAGAATATAGCATCCTTACCAACTGTAGACTCTACCCTGGCGATAATCCGTTGAACGCATTGGCTGCCTTGTAGCCCCAATTTTTTGTGAATCCTCCCCTTCAGCTCATTGTACGTAGTGCCCCGTTTGATTTTCAACATTTTCGTTTTTCCTTCAAATTGAACACCATTAGGGCCTTCATAATGCTTTCCATCATAGTAGATCATTATAACATACATGTTTGGACTTGAGCTCATCTTTCACACGAATTTGGGGGTAGGAATCGGATTTTGGGGATTTGGGTTCGGATTTGGGGGCAACAAATGAGAAAAGAGTAAATACCCTTTTTGGTCCTGAGCAAATTTCACGATGTCCGTTTTAGTCCCTAGCAAATAAAAAGGCCCATCGTGATCCCTAAGAAATTCAAAATGGATCCATTTAGTTAAAATTGTGGTCCCTTACAAATTCAAAAAAGACCCATATTAGACCTCAAAAGGACTAAAATGAGTCCATTTTGAATTTCTTAGGGACCACGATGGGCCTTTTTATTTGCTAGGGACTAAAGCGGGTATCGTGAAATTTGCTGAGGACCAAAAATGGTATTTACTCAATGAGAAAATAAGGGAAATGACAATGATTTCACAATGACTATGCTTTAGAGATGGTGGGATGAAATGTAATCGTGATTGGAAGGATCACAGCTGACAAACAAGAGATAGAGGGGGTACAAAACGAAAATATTGAAAAAGAGACCGAGAGAAGGCTGGGATATAGGGTTTTTTGCGAAATTTAATCGACTACATAATTGTTTTAGTCGATTAAAAGTGCACGAAATTTAATCGTTCAACTTGAATTTGTAGTCGATTACATTTCGTGATTCATGTTTTCTGTATTTTGACAATTTAGTCGATTAAAAGTGCAAGTTGATCGATAAATGGGGGCAGGATGGTGGATAGTTATAGGGGAGGGACAAATTGGTTATTAATTAATTAATTAGGGGCAAAAGGGTCAAAAAGCCATCAAAATTAATTGATTTGATTTTGTAGATTTTTTTAATCAAACTCGCGCCAGACAAACCCAATTAGCTTAAGTTTGTATCATCTGTTTAGAAATGGGGTCACCAATTCTAAATGAAAATGAGAATTAAAATGAAAGAATCACAGAATTTGCTACAAATGAGAATGAGGAACAGAGCACAGTGAGAGTGAAACGAACAGAACAATTGCGGGCAATGAGAGCAAAACGAGCAACGCTGAGAGTTGTTGCACATTACGAAGCTGAAACATAAGAGATATGACCTAAAACTAAAACCAAGAAGAATTGCCACTTAAACGTATCGTTTCTCTTTGTAAACTTTTTAAAAGTTTAAGTTTTTGAATGAGTATATTATTTTATAATATATTCTCTTAAGTTGGAACTCTTTGAATTGCACAGACTCAATTTTAATTTATTTTATATTTATTTAATTTTATTAAAAAGTGGAGATAGCAAGGATCCTTATGATCTCTAAGGCTTTATACCATATAAACAATTAATTTAATCAAAAGCTTGAATTGATTTTTAAAAGTTCTTAGCTATTTTTAAAAAAACATTATACATTGTGTCAATTTTCTAGGTCACGGGTACCAGTCCAAAAACACGAGACCCGAATCAATGTGGTTGAGATTTTTAATACGGTTTTATACAATTTACTCGATTACTTCAACTTATTTAAATTAATTATCTCTTATTAAAATAATTTTCTTCTTTTAGATAAAACAATAGTTTAAATAGGTTAGAACAAGCAAGTAATTGAAACTCTCAAGGAAGTGTACATGACAATGTCAATCATGCTCGTCAGTTAGCATCTGTCTTTGGTGCACCTGTAGATGATTCTACCTTGATCTTCTAAAAATATAAAATTGGGGTATTACATATTTACATGTAATCATGGGGTTTTCTTTGAATGAATTAAATCTCATTAGTAAAAATTGGTGTGTCACATGTAATCATGGGGTTTTCTTTATTTTCGAAAGAATAGTTTAATTGAGAGAGCATCCTCTAGAAAGTTCTCAAATTTGGCATCTTACAGGAAAGTAGGGAACAGAAAAGGTGATGTGGCATTAGCAATACAAGCCAGGTAAATAAAGACACCCGTGACACAAGGACTATTTAACCTTAAACAATGTGTGGATGCAAGTGCTATCTATTGCCAGCCCATTGTTAAAATGAGCAAACAACAAATCTGTGACAATTTTTTAACATGAAAAGACTACAAAATTGTACTTACAAAGAATTAAAAAAAACACCAACAAAGACATTTAGGGGTCCAACTATTTTCCCTTTTTTGTTTTTTCAATGGTTAGCAAACAAATTTCCAACTTTTATCACACACAACGACCAAACCAACCTTAAATAAGAGCCAAGAAAGAGCCTTGGTCAGTACCCTTCATTTCCAGCCACAAGAGAAAATGAGGAGGAGCTCAACCTGTGTTTATTCTTTAGCAATTCACATTCTTCTTGCTTCTATTCTCTTCACACTGTCCCAATCCTCTGGGGATGGTGATTTGGTAGACCAAATATGCAAAAGGACACCCTTTTATGACCTTTGCAGCACGACCCTACACTCAAACCCTCTAATCCCAAAGAATGATCTCAAAGGGGTGGCACTCTTAATGGTCAAGAACATTGTGGCAAATGCGAGTGAGACACTGAGCTACATTGAAGGACTAATAAAGCACACCTCAGACCGTGAGTTGGAACAAGCATTGGCTTTCTGTGCTGAGACATACATACCAATTGTGAAATACACTCTCCCACAGGCAGCTGATGCAATAAGCCAAGGCCGTTTTGTGTTTGCCAGTTACTGCATATCTGATGCTGTCAAAGAAGTGAATTCCTGTGATAAGAAATTCTCAGGCTCAACTCAGTCACCCTTAGGTGATAGAAATGGCATTGTGCAGAAGCTGGTTGATGTTGCTTCCGCCATAATCAAACTGCTACTAAAGAGTTGATTCATTCACCCCTCTTCTGTCCCATTTCTAGTAGAGGTTAGTAGGTACTCTCATTCGTATTTAGATGGTTGATTTTGTAAAAATTATGATTCAATGTAATTTGAACTTGTGATAATTCGGATTTACACTGCACGAAACACGGACATACATAATACCAACACAGTATGAATTTGAAATCGGATTAAAATCTTTGACGTAAATAAGAATCGCTTATTTTACGAATTGACACTACATAAATAAATTGTGTATTATTTATTATGCGGGTCAACACAATATGATAAGATACGAATAACTTATTTATAACACGATATGAATAACTTATAAAAAGACTAATGAGGGTTAATTTCGAGTTTGACCCGCAATACAAATTTTTTCAGGTCAATTTTTGCTAACACAAATTCGAAACGAATTTAAAAATCAACCGAACCAAACACTAATTTTTCATGTTGTGTCTATGTTATGTCGCCGGGTTGTGTAACCAGCTCGTTATGAACAATACGACTTTTGACAACCTCTTTCTGGTGCGTCTGTTATGGATCTGGTTCACCATAGTCCTGAATCTCCTGATAGGGTCAAATAAAGTAATAAATGTAATTTTAGTTGCAAATGCAACTCACTAGGAAAAGCACAAACCAAATCACCGTCATTCATTTTATTTTATTTTTATTTTTTTTCTCCTCTCTCTTTTTCTCTCTCATCCATCAAAATATTAATGATGCCGACAAATCAATGTGCCCATCTTAATCATTGTACCTAAATAAGAAATTCTCCGGAGGGTGATAATACCCCCCATCAAAATGTAATTTATTAGCATTAGCATGTGGAATTCTCTTTGATTTTACTTTTTTAAATTGACATTTAATTTAATTTTTCTTTTGGACGTGTACGTTAACTGAGATCATGGAAGGATTTTTGTACAAATAGATACACACAAATTGAAAATTTTGAAGGACCTACTTTATAATTTTTAACTTCCCCTAATAATCTCTTATAGAGGTTGCTCAATGCTCATCCTTTTGTCTAGCCATTAATATAAAATCCCCCAACTCAAAGGCTCCCATAGCGTGGAGCATGGATGCTTCACAAGTCACAACCTTTTAGGAACATATTAAACGTCTTTGCTTCGTAGGTCAACTTCACTTAATTTTTGGAATCACAGATAGAGCGATTTCACATGCTAACGCTAATAAATTATAGTGATTGATGAATCCCCATTCTTCGGAAATGTGCTTTGTATATTGTAAATATTAAAAACACAATCAAGGAAAGAGAAACTAACGTGACTAGCATTTTTCTTTTTTTTATGTATCCCCACGAGCTTCGACTCTTTGAGCCGGCTATGGGACTAATCCGGAGTGCGGGGAAGCAGTGATGGCTTTTCTTATGAGATACGATCATAACTAGTTCAAAAAAAAAATGGGAGAATTATTGAACCCAAAAATCAAGTTAAGATGTTAGAACAACTAAAATAACAGAACTGACAAAAACCAGTTGATGATAATAGTAATACAGAATACAATTATATACTAGTTGTCTTAATTAAGCCATGACAAAAGGACACCAGTAAATAATTATTAGGATCACATTATGTGTTTGAGCTTCAAAAGCAAAAACTCCCAACTCAATATTTCATCGAGCATATAAGCAACAAAAAGTTGCTGAAATGTAGAAGGTAACAACACGTATTTGGCAAGCCAATGAAGAACAGTGGCAACTATGTTATGGTAATTTAACTCACCCCCCAACATTGAATAATATACATAAAAGGGGATAAATTACCAATACATAAATATATATTTGAAGACAAGAAAAAGAACTTGAATGTGAAGCACAAGACCACTAAGCCATCTTATCTTTTCTTCGTTAAAAACAGGTAATGGCATTCTTTTTGCAAAATAAAACTGCATTAACCTGAATCTCTCCTCAGTTTTTCAGGCAAATATGAACCTGCTACCTGCTGCACAAAACTGCAAGGTACCATCAAGTAGCAAAATTGATATTAGAAGGCTTCCACATCAAGCAATGTATTTTTATATGAATGAGGTAGAAAAATGGGGGGAAATGAGCCAAAGGAGAGGTTCAATGAGCAGCATGCATTTGAACTTACTGGTGAGACTCTGAACCAGGTGCATTTGAGTCACTTGCGGATGGAGTGAGTTGGTACTGAACCGAAATTAAATCACCCTCTGCTCCTCCAGCAGATAGAGGAGATCCCTGGAAACTTGACACAGAGCTTTTCCCAGATGACATACCTACAAAAAGCAAAGTCTAATTAAAAAAAAGGCTTAAGTGTTCTCAATCATCAGAAGAGGAAAAAAAAAAAAGTCCATTTCTAGACTTTAAAAACTAAAAAAAAGTTACGGTATTCTCAAAACATAGATGAAAGAACTCCCAACCACTGAACCACAAGAACAGGAATATGGTAAAAATTAATCTATTACTATAATTTATAGATAGAAAATGAACACGGTGACATTTTACGGGAGGATAATCAACAAATAGTAACTTCAGCAGTCTCTTTAGTTATAAATGCTAACATGTAAAATTTTATTCAACATGCAAGTTTTACCAAACTGATTATTTTCATGGAATCACTATTCACAAAACATAGTAATTAAGTATTAATCTCGAAAATTGAAATGGACTAGCATAGGAAACAGAATCACAAGGCATAAGTAGCAATGAAATGCAGAATATAGAGGTAAGAAAACAAGGTCCTTATCATGTTTTAGTGCACACGATTATAAATAACATTGCCTATGCATGATAAATTTTACTTTTATCACATGTTACCTTGGAATATTATCACAATACAGAAGACAACAGTGAAAACCATGGCCCAAATGCTGCTGCTGCTGCTGGAAGATGATGATTTAGCCATTCTCATCTTCTTCAAGGCTTTCATACGCTCTATTCTTGCACGCTTCAACATGGCAAATTCAGATATCTCCCTGATTAGCTTATGGTCAGCAGCATCCAACTGCAGAGCTTGTGGAGGTCTTGGAGGTTTGGGAGCCTTTTTATTACGGGCCTTTTTGCGTTTCTCCTTTACCGGGGTCTGCACTGCATTGCTCACTAAATCTTGCCCTGTAATTGGGTTGTTTGTCACTTTCATCACATCCACAGAAACTTCACTTAAATTTGATTCATTGCTGCACAAACTTGGCCCAACTTCACCTTTAACAGGACCTCCAACCAACCCACCAGAAAGCTTAGCAAACAATGCCTTTCCTTGTTTTGCAGTAGTTGGAGTAGAGACTTTCTTTGAATCATCTCCAATTAGTGGCAATCCACTTTCAAGATCAACTTCAACATCCTTATCCCTTGCACTTCTACGATCCATCCCAATTCCCAAAGCCACAAACCTAATCCAACTTCTCCCAGCTTGATACCCTACAAAATTTCCTCTAAACTGCCACCAGAAACTTAATCCTTGAACTCAACCCATCATAAAAAAATGACCTCCTCAACTTTTGTTATGTACTAAGGGCTTAATTGACCATAAATCATCACGAAGACACCTTGCAATACAACTCAATCCCAATTCAGATTACCTTCTATGATTGCACATTACACAGATTCAGACAATAATAAATTAACTATTAACCACCAAAACTATTTCTTTTAACTATTTATAAGCTATATTACCACGAGCTCAACAACTCCAAAAACAAAAGAAACAAAAATGCAATCCCGGGAACGGACTGAACCTGCGTCACAACAAGAGACAGAGTTCAATCGATTGAACCAAATTAACAATCTTACGAAAAAGTAAACCAAATGATACAACTTTAAGATACCCCCAAAAGCACCAATTCAAACTTTTATACAAAATAGAAAACAAAAAAAATAAGAAAATCCTTGAGAAGAAGGAAGAAACAGAAAAACCTTAATAAACTTACAGAAGGATTCTCAGCACAAAATAAATATACATAACAAACCAACCCCAGAAAAAAAAAATATAGAAAGGTGAAACCTACAAACCACTAGTTAATACCCCGCATCATAAATAAACTTACATTGCAATCATAGATGATCAATAAATGGGCACCCACGAAAATGGAGAAAGTCAACAACTTTAAACTAGTTTAAGCCATTAAAATAAAAAAATAAAAATTAACAATAGAAGAATAAGAAGTAAGTAAAAAGAGAATAAAGAAATGAAAAGTGATACCTTTGTGGAGAGGGGAAGGAACCCCAGATCCAATGGTGGAAGAGTTGAATTTGCAGAGAGCGAGAGATAAGGGAAAGAGATAAAAAGGTATTAAACTATAGATAGACAGATAGATAGATAGATAACCGGGAAAGGGAACAAAAGTTACTGCAATTTTAAGATTTGTTCAAACGAAAATCTCTCTGTCTTTCTCTCTCTTCATTTGGTGGCATATGCTGTCGCCATAAACAGCATATATATAGACCGAAGAAAAGGCAGAAAATGTAGGCATTATAAAGAAGCATCACCGACAGTTGGCAACTCCGAATTTCACTGCGTGGCTACCATGTATTGTTTCTTTATGAAATGTTTTTTTTATTTATTTAACGTTGTTTGTAGTGTCACGTCAATGAATAAAAATATTTAACTATGAAAATAACTATTTAATTATGCTGTCATTTTATATATGATAACATAAAAAAAACTTAATACTCTTAAAAAAATAAAGCTAAACAAAAATATCAACTTCAATGATTACCAAAAAAAAAAATATATATATATATATATATATATATATATATATATATATATATATATACACACGTCAATCTATTAGCTATATATGAATTAATACATTGAAGTTTAATGCAATTTTAATAGTATGGAAAGAGGTACATGTCAAATTTGAAGCATCACTTTATTCGTTTTAAATGCTGTAGCGATTGATTAATTAGAAATTGTAAATTATCTTTTTTCTGTCTTATTGGCTGTATAGTAGCTCGGTATTTTAAAAGATTTAACACGAAAATTGTTCATCGATTAAACAATTGTCTTATTAAATATTAAATATAGTATGGTCCTTCTTGTACCAAAAGAAGAAAAAAAAAAGTTCCTTCAAGAGATTGGCCTGCAAAAAATTAAAATAAAAAAATATAAGCAACTCAGCAAGATGTATAGGTTCCTTCCTGCCCCAAATGTGTAGATTTCAAACACGAGACTAAAGGAATAAAAAAATACACCATTAAATTTGTACAATTATCGAATGGTAATAATCAATTATATTTTTTATATTATTTTTATGAAAAATTAAGTTACGTTAAATTAAAATAAAATGATTATATTTTATGTGTTATAAAATAAAAATATATATAATTACAATTAGCATTTATTTATTTATTTAGAAAAAACAATTTAAACCAAATTTCTACCATCGTTTTTTTTTGTCGATTTTGTATTAACCATTTTTTTTATTCTCTAATTTTTTTGGTTGTTTAAATCAAGGGCTTTATATTTTTTATGCACAGAAATCAAAAAAACTTTCTCCTGCACACTCAATTAAAATAGGACCCATCACAAGAGAGAGAAAATAAATTAAAAAAGTGAAAGCACATGGATCGATAGTTCAGCAAGAATTTGCTCTCTTGTATTTTTTTATGCAAAATAATGAGTTGCGGATTTAGAAAATTTTATTTATATGTGCATATTTAGTCCAAATATTTAGTGAAGAGGATTTGGGGGCAGTGCTTTCAGAAAAAAAAATTTAAACAAAATTTTAAATACATTAAAAAATATAAAAATATAAAAAAAAAATTATATCCCTTATATTATATGAACCAAATTTTTTGTTCTGTTAAGGAAAAGACAAGACTAATTCTGTGAATAATGTGTCATCTTACTTTCTTTAATATTATATAACTTGACAAAAAAATTTATCATATAATATGAGGAATATAATCCTCAAACAACAAAAGAAAAAAAAAACTTGAACTTAACATAAAAAAATAATAATCAATTTAATGATATAAAACCACTAAAACATAAGCAATAAATAAGATGTGTTTTTTTTTAATATATGTGTTTTATTCCTTGTAATACAGTCACTAAAATTGCTTCTTGAATGACACTCATAATTAATTACAAAATGTATCTCTTTTTTACTAAAAAAGAATGTATGACAAAATTTATGTATGCACTTGCACACGTAAAAAGCTAAATAGGTCTGCCACTAAACATAAGATATGTTATCTCATATTACATTTACAATTTTATGTGAGTTCCATTGCACGAAAAAAGAGGGAAAAAATTAAAGTGGAACCATATTTTTTTTTAATGTGTAGAAGAGAGTTGTTATCTCATGTGAGATAAGGTTAATATTTCCCCTCTTTTATGCAACATAATAACTTCATTACCCTTAAATCAATGACGTGAGGTTTACCGGTTTTTCAATTAATCCGGTTTGTTTAGTTTGATTTTTAAAGCAAACAAAAAAGGGAGAGGGAAAATGACGGAACTTGACAATTTATGGGCATGGTTGACTATACATTTTTGTTCTTTCCAAAGAATCATAGAAGAATATACTTCTTAAGGCATTTTTTTCGTGCATTGTGTTTTCTGTTCTCTGTAATTGATAGTTCTGTCATTCAGAACTGAAATACCAAAACGAGGCAATGGAAAAATAAAAGGAATGTGAAAATATAAGGACACCTTAAGAATACAACCGGCGGCAGTTTAAAGATATACAAAATAATCAAAAAAATTGAACCGAATCATGAATCGAACTGTACTTAAAATAATCGTAGTTCATGAACCGAATCAGTTTCTAAAAAACCAGTTCATGAATCAAACTGATTTTTAAAATTAGTTCAAGAACCAAATAGTTTTTGAACTGAACTATTTTTTTATTTATTTTTTTTTATTTTTTTTCTTTTCAGAATAAGATCGACTCGAACTGATTTCAAAGCAAACCAAACCGTTTTCAATCTAACTGAATCATTTTTAAACCGAACCGAATCAGTTTTGAACTGAACTAAATCGAATCATTTTCGAACTGAACCGTTTAAAATAATTCGGTTCGAAATTCAGTTCAAATCGACTGAAACACATCCCTAAGCAGCACTCTCGAATTCAACAGATTAATATTGTTTTAAAGAATATTAATTACAGTTAATCTAATTATTAATTGGAAAAAGTGTTTGTCATTTTAAATGACATAAAGTTATGTCATTTTAAGATAGAGATAGACACGAAATAATTTTTTTATTTAAAATTTAAATTAAAAAAAAAAAACACTCACTTTCTCTGTCCCATGATTTTTATTTTTTTGTGTCTATCTCTCTCCTAAAATGACATAACTTATGTCATTTAAAATGACAAACACCAAACCCTAATTAATTTTACTCTTTTTTATTTAATGAAATTGCATCCCTCACTCAACCACCCTATAAGCCAAAATCACGTACTATATGACACACGATTTCAATTTATTAGTTCGGGGTATATTAGATATATATAATTTAATACAATGTTGCAATCATGACCCAAAAAAATAGTTAGACGTTATTATTAACTAATTTCTGATCGATTGAGACCCTCTAACAAGGTAATAAATAATGGCTTTTGCATGACCATGTGCAGTTTGAAGTTGAACCCACATCAAGCTACAAACGCACGTGGGTTCTGATATTACAATATTCACCAGGCCCCAGCAAGATCAAAGCATTATTTGCCCACATTAGGCTAAAAATCCCAAGTACAACAGGGCAAATAAATTAGGCCTGCAAAATGCATTTGCCCTTTCTTTTAACTATTAAACTTATATTTTTAATTAAAAAAAATTTATTCATAAATTCATACACAATCAAACCATTTTAAACAAATTGCACCAAAAAACCATTTTATCTGAATACAAAAATACTATTTTGGCAAAACTGTAATTTTTTCATTACAAAAGCTGACTTCACTGCTGTTCAACATAATCATTATTCGTTTTGGTCAATAAATGGAAGCAAAATGTTTTTTTTTTTTATGTTACATGAAAAAGTTTATCTCATGTTATGTTATACATTCATCGAAATCTGAGTCAATATTTTTTATTTTTTTTTAGTTGTAGAACCCACCTAATTATAGCTCTACATAAAACAATGTTATCCCAATGTAATATGAAAAGCATTGCCCAAAACATGTAAGTAGCAACTGAATGGCAATCAGGGTACCATTTTAATCTTATTTCATCAGAACTTTCACATGGTAACCTGCAAGTGAAGTGGGTCAAGGGAATGATACTAAAACTTGAAAATGGCAGCACCACTCGATGGCTTTGAAGCAAATACATGAAGGTCAACATTGTTCTCCTTGATCACGCCCTTTTTTATTCTAGTCTGGTAGAAACCTTCCTGAAATGGATATTGAATCAAGTGTTAACTTGTTTATTCTAAATTTATTATATTTATAAGGATTTTTAAGTAATATAAGATGGCAAACCTTCAAATTAAGGATAAATTGCGGAACACTGCCCTCTTTCACCAAAGCAACAACACAACCACCCCATCCAGCTCCAGTAAGCCTTGCCCCGAGAGCACCATTGTCCCGACAAATTTTTACGAGTTCTTCCAATTCTGAACAGCTGATTCAATAAATAATAAAAAGGAAAATATCAACTTTATCTTTATGTTCTGAAAAAAATAAATTACATAAGCAGTATTCTTCATTTTGTTATTTGAGGGTTGAAAGCTCATTGAAAGTCCACTGGTGGAGATTTTTTGGTTATATATCTAATGCTCCTGCCCCTTCAAAATCTAAAGAAACCTTTAGGTGTAAGTACCATTTCTATAATTTCGTCCCCCTTTTTTGTTTTAGCTCCACCATTTTGAAACCAATCATGCCTTACAAAGAGACATCCATCCGAAGAGAATCTAATACTTAACCATGCATATAATTTTTTAATGGCATAATGCATTCTGAAATAAAGAATATTGTGCATGTCATTTACCTGCATTCATATAAAACACTGCAGCTATGATGAGACTGATTCATAAGGTCACCAAGCTTCTTTAGTTTCTCCTCCTCACTGAAACAATAATGAATAGTTAAAATCCAAGAAACATGCTGACCACCTAAAGAAGGATCACAAAATATGGAAACTAATGAGATGAAACTTTTACAACCCCCAACCCACACTAAGATACATATTAGAATAAATTAAAAGTGTTCCTAAAACAATTTATATTCAAGACCAACAAAAAAAGAAATGAACATATCAACAATGACTGCAAGCTAGGCATGTAAATTACCGGGACAAGGAACATTAACATTTCAATGGGTTGCCCAAGATGTCTTGATTTCAAATTTAGATGAAAATTTCATAAGCCAAGCTTTATAATAGCAATAACTTTAAGAGTGAATAATCTACTTGGTCTTCCCAAGATTAACATGAAACGGCATTATCCTCCAAAAGATTTTTGTCACCAAATTGGTCCATCAAAAGATTAGAAGTTCACTAAATTAGCCCCTCAAAGATCTAAAATGTCACCATATTTGTCAGGACTAAAGTGGTGACTCAAAAGGATGAATTTGGAAACTGTTCTGTATCTTTGAGGGATTAACATGGTGACAAAATCTTTGGAAGATTAAGTGGTGACACTGACACCCTAATCTTTGGAGCACCAAGTACCTTTAAAGTTAAAGAAGCACGTGGCGTAGACACATTCGGCTATCAGCTCATATCTGCATGTGAAAGCAATATAAATAGCAGCATGCTCCTAATACAATAGAAAATTAGAAATATTCAACCAGACAGTCCTAATCATCTGTATATTTTATTGGATTAAAAATTGGATTAAAACATATGTTTCAATGATTGTCTTTTATCTTTTGACACATGAATAGTTAACCAATTCTTCTAAAAATCATCAAGCTCTAGCCTTTAAGCAATGCAGAAATGTCTCATGAGAGTTACATAAAAATGAAAGAGCAATCGCAAAAAAAAAAATGGCTATTATATATGATCAATAAGAAAAGACTCACCTTAATTCTGATGATACAATATCCTTGAAAGCATGTACCCTTTTGGCTTCTGAATACACATGTGCAGCTCTCTAGAAATAAATGCATCAAACTTAAGTAGCAGCACACTAAAGGGATAAGATGTTAGCCGTTACAACCAATTAAGAAACGGTGGTTGGCAATAGCACCATGGAACCCAAAAGCTACGATAAAACTTGGGTTTTATAAGAGTTATGTTGTAGGAAAAGTGATTGTGTAATGTTATAGAGATTCGTTTTGCGTGCCATAATTTCTTTTTTTATTTTCTTCAAAAAGTGTGGGTCCCACAAAATGTTGTGTGTATAGGAAAGTTTGTTGTGTCATGTTAAACGACAAATGCAAACCCCATAAAACTTTACATATTTCCCAATGAATAAGTCATGCATGAAGCCCTCTAGATAATTGTAAATTTGCAATTCAGAGAGATAAACAATATCCCATGAGCAGCTTACTATTAAAAACTGCAATATGCTGAAGCAAACTGCTAACAAAAAGTTAAGCATATTCAGATTTTAACATGGTTATACAAATAGGACAAATTAACTCCACTACTGTGGCTTAAATGCAATCCATAGAAATAAACACTATCGCATCATTGTTAACAATTATTACACAAGTCCAGAACCAAAAAGCATAATTAATAACATTTAAAAATGTAAGTGCCTGAAGCAAATACTGGCAAAAAAAGTTTAGTATATTCTGATATTGACATGGTTACACAAATGAATTGAAAGTAACTTTGCTAATGGGATTTTAAAAAGTACCTGATGTAACTTGTATTGCTTAGCAACTTTTATGACATCCAAATATGCAGGATTACTGCTAAATGATGAGGTCAACTTATCCCCAATAATTTTCTCGATTTCATCAGCTGTATAAGGTTCTTCCTTCAAAAATTCCTGCACCCAAAAGAAAGTTACATATTAAAACAGGAAAAGGATTATTATTTTTATGAATGTTAGATTAAAAAAGTCACTAAAAATTACATAAATATCAATATTGCATAAACATAATATACATCACGTGTTTGTTGACAAAGCTAATTTCAAAGAGTGCATCCCGGTAAAATTACCTTGACAGCAAGAATAGGATCAGAAGAGTTACGACTACTAGCAAATGATACACATAAGCCTTCAACGTCAGATAGTGTTTTTACTTTTGATATTGCCTCTTGTGGTTTCATTCCAAGCTTTATACCAAGCACAATCTGGAAATTTTCACAATAGTACTTTTTGAGTTTATAAATATAATTGACAACACAAGTACTTGCAAGTTGCATGTCCATCTAAACAGCTAGCTTTTGGTATTGCACACATACACCCACAAACAGTAATTAGTTCTTCTTTTTAAAAAAAAATCTCTATCATCACAGGAAGAGAAGCACCTGAAATAATCATGTTTCCTTTTTTCTTAAATAATAAAAATAGCTAATGACCCATGTACCAAAATAATAATAATAATAATAATAATAAAATAGCTAATGCAAAATTATAGATTTCAAGCTATGAAAAAAACTAAATGAGTGAAATTAAATTGACACTCAATTATTTTTTGCATTCTTAAAAATGGCAGTGCTGTGATAATAGTTGATAAGAGGAAAGAATGAGATGGAGTGAAACTCAAAAGCATGAAAATGCACTATTGAATTTTTTTGATATTAATAATATTAGAAACATGATGAAATAAATAGTATAGGATAGCAGTAACAGACAGAATTGATTTTGATGGTTGCATTTGCAAATTGTTAAACTCGAATAGCAAGAGCTTTCCAAATAATCCGTTAACATTTTGTTGTTTAAAAATCTGAAAAATTTTCTCAATATCACCATGATTATTTATTATAATAATTTTCAAATGCCTTTAGTGGTTAAACTTACGTGAAAAATAAACAGGCTTTGCTCAAGTAATATTAACTAGTTAAAGGTAACAGGTGGAGCACTAAGGAAGGTCAATATGACTTGAAAAAGGGTTATCAAATATTATTGAATTGTATATTAATCTGATACAAAGAGGTCTCTATTTATAGAGACTAAAAAACTTAATTCTTGACCTAATGGGCTTGGCCCAATACAACAAATACTAATAATAATAAAAGACCTAATATTTACAACAATATGCTTAGGAACTACAAATAAGAAATAACAATGAAGCAAATTGAATCTTATGTTGACAAGTACTTACAGAAGCCAAATTGCATTCAAGAACCCTATTATTATAATTTGTAGCAGCAGTAACAGCCTTCTGAGACTCTGCCAAAGAATGGGCTATCACAAAAGTCCCACCAGCAGGAAGTTCCACATCCGTTGCACGGATTGGATTAAAATCAATCAGCTCTGCAAACCCAGTTTTGCCCATGACAGAGATTGCCTATCAAGTAAAACAAGAAAAAGATACAAGTCCACGTACAATGTCACAATGTACAAATAACAACATAAAGTTGCATTGGGACCTTGACTAAACTGTACATTGGATAAAATCATATGCACCATGTAATAATTCAAAATTATTTATAACAAGAAGAAAAGTCTTTTTTTCCCACTAAGAAGAGTCAGCTACATAGATCTAATGACTTCAATTCAAAATTATTCACAAAAAATAAAAAATATGTGATGAGAGCTTGTTGGAAGCAGAGTACTGCACTAATGCGACGGACTTTTATAATGAATTGAATCATATATAGTCATTTCAAATTGAGGCTACAAGCAAAGTGACTTACCAGTAACCAGCCTTAAAAATTATGGAAATTAAACCATCTGAATCGTTTCCAACTCAAAAGACAACAGAATTGGAATATCTAATACTTTGTACAATGTGTGTTTCAAAGTTAGAAACCAAATCAGAGACAGTAGAATCTCCTTGACATAGTTTTATTCTGAGTGATAGAATACAACACCAGATAAAAATAGGTTAACCTACTTGAGACAATAAAATTCGAGCACAAGTCAATAACAAAATTAGTCGACCACGACCAGTACAAATTAGCAAGATCCTGTCACAAAGTAGTTATGAAGGTCATTCTGTGGGGAGATGATTTGAAGAAATAACAATGCTTGGACAGGTAACTGGGACGTATTCACATTAAAATTAGAATAGAAATATCATTAATGAAAGATCTATATACAACTCGATCCATCCCACCAGACTGTGTACCAATATGCCGTTCACATTCACATGTAACTTGTGCAACTTCTTTCTGTCAACAATTCAAGTAAGTTAGAAACAGAATAATAAAAATTAGAAATAATTAAAACAACCAATGATCAAATATGTTCCAAAGCAAGGGCATCTTTCAACATAAATAGCATAGAATAGTGAATACATCATTCAAGGAACAGCATGTAACTCCCTGTAATACTATTATGTCAGTGGAGATAGTGGTTTAATCAAGTTATCGAATTTGACCTCAAACTGAGCTTTATCGAGCTGAAAAACCAAGCTCAAGCCCATATTCAATTCGAATTTTAAATTTTCACAGTTTTAAAATACTAAATTTTATAATTTAAACTATTTAATTACATTTATTATTTTATAAAATAACATATCAAGCGCAATCCATGTCTATCAGACTCGCTCATGGCATTCAAGTTTGGCTTAATTATACATCATATTTGAACTTGATATTATTGAGCTGCAAATCAAATAGAGCCTTCATTTTGACAACTATTCGTGAGTGAAGATATCAAGATTTAGACATAATATTAGTTTATCAAGACTCAACTATTCTTGCTACTTCGACGACAAGTGAAATTCCAATTATCTTATCTAATCAGATATCTGAACCATCACTTAAAAAAGTTAAGAATCTTATACCATAAATCCAAATAATTTCAGCATGCAGCAGTTTACCAAGAACATCAAAGTTATTTACAACTGATTTATTGGCGAATGGTGAATCTGGAACCTAAGTCCACTGAAAGCATACCTTCGGAAAGTTTACACCAAAAGCAGCCATAATGGCAATTGTGGAAGAACAAACAAATGCCGCAGAGCTTGATAGTCCAGAACCTATATAACAATAAACATCATTCATTCAATTTAACCCCATTAACAGACAAAAGACATGTCATGTCCAATATGAGTACCAAAGATGAAGCACTTCGTTCATTAAGAGGTGAATTTGAATATCCCCTCATTAATAGCACCATTCTAATTTAAACAAAAGAACACACCTGTGGGAACTGTTCCATCAACAAGGACATCAAGACCTACCGGTTGACCAACATCCACTCCTTTCGATTTAGCGTAATCATAATACCCTTTGTACCTACAGAAACCGTATTATCTCACCTATATATACATATTACTGAGTTAAACAACATTGACAAACTTGCAAATTGCAGACATAGCTTAAAAAATAATAAAAATAAAAAACCTTACCCACAAATAAAATAGTGGCCCCATTTGTGGTTCTTCAAGTCAAGCGCCTGCATGAAAAAGAAAGACACGGTATATTTAAGAATAAAAATAATCAACATCATCAACACCTTTATCCCAAATTAATTGGGGTCGATGGTAGATGAACCCAAATGAAAGATACAAAAAGGTTGAAAAAAGAAAGATAAAAGTAAAAATAAAAATAAATAAATAGAATAGTAAATATATATATATATATATATATATATATATATATATATATATATATATATAAAAGTAAAAGTAAAAAAGAAAGGGAAAAGAAGAAGAGGGGAAACGAAGGGGAAAAAGACTAAAAAGGGATCATCTGGAACATAGGAATAACAACGGGTCTAACCCTCCACCATGCTTATAGCTTTTCTCCATTCCGTTCTAAGACAAACTGTCCGCCAATCTATATCTCACTCCATTAAATCTTGTTTTACCACCTTCCCCCAAGTAAGTTTCGGTCTACCTCTACCTCTTTTTGTGTTGAGCTCTTGGTAACAAACTTTTGTTTTTACGGGAGCATCCAGGGGCCTTCTCATTACGTGCCCAAACCACCTCAATCTATCTTCTCTCATCTTCTCAGCCACCGGTAGTACTCCTACCTTTCGTCGAATATCTTCATTTCTTATCTTATCCATCCTCGTATAACCACACATCCACCTTAACATCCTCATCTCTGCTACTCCCATTTTATGCTCATGTTGCTTATGTGCTGGCCAGCATTCAGCTCCATATAGCATTGGAGGTCTTACTGCTGTTTTATAGAATTTTCCTTTTAACTTAAGGGGGATTTTGCGGTAACACAAAAACCCAGATGCACTGCGCCATTTCATCCACCCTGCTCTGATTCTATGATTTACATCCTCATCAATCTCTCCACCTTTTTGCAAAATAGAGCCCAGGTATTTAAAAGTGTCTTTCTTGGGTACCTCTTGATGACTTAGATGCACGAGATCTTGGTCTACATCTCCTACCAGAGAAAACTCACACTTCAGATACTCAGTCTTGCTTCGACTTAATGTGAATCCTTTAGATTCCAATGTGCTTCTCCACAATTCAAGTTTTCTATTAACACCATCCTTGCTCTCATCAATAAGCACAATATCGTATGCAAAAAGCATACACCATGGCACTTCCTCTTGAATATATTTTGTTAGTTCATCCATAATTAAGGCAAAGAGATAAGGACTTAGAGCTGACCCTTGGTGTACACTTACCGTGATAGGGAAATAACTTGATGTTCCGTTACAAGCTTTCACACATGTAGTAGCTTCATCATATATATCCTTGATTGCCTTTACATACTTTGATGGTACCTTTTTCTTCTCCAGAACCCACCATAAAACTTTCCTTGGAACCATATCGTATGCTTTCTCAAGGTCTATGAACACCAAATGTAAGTCCTTTTTCTTTTCTCGATATCTTTCCATTAGTTGTCGCATCAAGAAAATGGCTTCCATGGTACATCTTCCTGGCATAAATCCAAATTGATTTACAGAAACCTTGGTATCTCTCCTCAAGCGACGCTTAATAACCCTCTCCCACAACTTCATAGTATGGCTCATTAGCTTAATGCCTCTATAGTTTGAACAATTCTGTATATCTCCCTTGTTTTTGTAGATAGGCACAATCATACTTTTCCTCCATGCATCAGGCATCTTATTTGTCTGGAGAATCTTATTGAAAATATTGGTCAACCATTTTATTGCCACATCCCCTAGGCCTCTCCACACTTCAATAGGGACCCCATCAGGTCCCAAGGCTTTATTAGTCTTCATCTTCTTTAAAGCCTCCTTAACTTCATGTGTATTAATTCTGCGCACAAATCTTCTATTCAAATCATCATAAGCGTCCTCTAAGTCCACCTCGCTTATATCTCCATTCCCATTAAACAGCTTGTTGAAGTAGTTCATCCATCTTGCATTTACATCTTCATCTCTCACCAAAAGTTTTTTATTTTCATCCTTGATGCATCTAACTTGGGTGAGGTCTTTACTTTTCTTATCCCTTATTTTTGCAAGTTTATATATACCTTTTTCACCATCCTTGCTCCCAAGATTTTTATACAAATCAGCAAAAACCTTGCCTCTAGCTTCTCGCACTGCTTTCTTTGCATTTTTTCTCGCCAATCTAAACATTTGCAAGTTCTCTTCACTGGGACTTTTGTGCAAAGATCTAAAGCATTCCTTCTTATGTTTAATTGCCTCTTGCACCTCTTCATTCCACCACCATGTTTCCTTTGTATGAAATCTATTTCCTTTGCTTTCTCCCAACACCCTCCTTCCCATATTTTGAATACACTTAGCTATCTCATTCCATATTGCATTTGCTCCTCCATCAAACTCCCAAGGTCCTTCGTGCAACATTCTTTCAATGAACTCTCTCTCTTTTCCCTCGTTAAGTTTCCACTACCTTATCCTCGGGTTCTGAGCCCTCTTCCTCATTGTAAGTACTTTGTTGAACTGAACCTCCAGGACTACCAGCTTATGTTGCGTAGCGACACACTCTCCAGGGTAGACCTTACAGTCGACACAAGAAGTTCTATCTTTTCTTCTAGCCAGAAAGAAATCAATCTGACTACGATTTTGGCCACTATGAAAAGTGATTAGATGTGACTCCCTTTTTCGAAAAAAGGTGTTCACTAGCATCAAATCGTAGGCTAGAGCAACATTCAAAATATCTTTTTTAATCTCGTTTCTCGTCCCATAGCCAAAACCTCTATGAATTCTATCAAAACCTCCATTGCTTTTACCAACATGACCATTTAAATCTCCTCCTAAGAAAATCTTCTCCTCTCGAGGTATTCCCCTCAAAACCTCCTCTAAGTCTTCCCAAAACTGGCTTTTATCAATTGGTTGCAATCCAACTTGGGGTGCATACACACTGAGAATATTCAGGATTAAATCACCCACTACAAGCTTAACCAGAATAATCCCGTCGCCTTTCCTTCTGACGTCTACAACTTTATCTCTGAAACTTTTATCGATCATAATTCCAACACCATTTCGACTCTTGTGAATACCTGTGTACCATAACTTCAAACCAGTTTCATCCACTTCCTTGGCCTTTTCTCCAGCCCACTTAGTTTCTTGCAAACAAACAATATTCACTTTCCTTCTAGCAAAAACAACTGCTAACTACCTCAATTTACCTGTTAAGGTTCCTATGTTCCAGCTTCCCAATCGCATCCTTAACCCCTGGGCTGTGCTTGCCCGCCACGCTCGCTCATCTGCGTGTTGGGACCCTGACATACTTTTCACCAAATCCGGGTGAAGACCTGGCGCCTTGCCTTGGGGCAAGGACCCTAGCACATTTTTCACTACACCCTGGGCCCAATGCAGCGCCTTGCCTTGTGGCAAGGACCCTAACCCATTTTTCGCTACACCCGGGGCCCGATGCAACGCGTCGCTATGAAGGGTACGCCCCAACGAAAAATCATATGGGTTCATCACATAAAAATATAGCTGTTTTTTTATGGCCGGTTCGCTACACCTGACGCCAACCCTCCTCCTTTATCTTGGCTTGTGACAGACCATGCATGCAAGCACATGTAGGCAGGGTTAAGAATAAAAATAATAATGCAATAAAAAGTTTTATTATTTTATTATTAATCAATCACAGGGATTTAAGAATCGACCTGGTTAGGATCAGCAGGGTAAGTACACGTGGCATATACTTGGTCATTGACGTTAGCAAATCTAAGAACATTTTGGCTTTCGTTTTTCCGAATGGCCACGATAGTATCTTGCCGAATTGCCATAGGCAACACCGAATACCCCTCATAGTCTATGTGTTCTCCGATCAAGTTCACTCTCCCTGCAATGCCAATAATAATAATGATGATGAAATGAATGCGGATCATTTTTCTCATGATGTTTAAAACAGAAAACGAAGAAAATGAAATATAACTAGTTGGAGAGAGAGCGAGAGAGAGAGAAGGAGAAGGACCAGGTGAACGAGCGAACAGTTGAGGATGATGACCGAAGATTTTGAGAAATTTAGACTTCAAATTATCGAAACGAAGCCGAGCTTCTTCTAGGTGAGAACCTCCGCCGTATACAGGCTCCAGAGTTTCGAAAACTGCCAGCGGAAGCTCTTCGTGTTTCGCCATTTCCGAATCACGATTCAATTCTCTGCAACTCCTCTCTCTGTCTCTCTCTCTCTCTGTGTGTGTGTGTCTCTATCGAAGGCTTTTCAGCTGAGACTGAGAGAAACGAAAACGGAATCGTGGCAGTGACGTGTCTGTCTCATGTATGATAACTCCTTTTTATTCATTTATTTATGGGGTTTATAATTATGGTACAGGATATTGTTAATACGAAATAATGTAATATTAATGTTGGGAAAATATTTTCTCATGTTACATGAGAATTCAATTCTCATGTTGTGACCCTTCGATTTACGTGCAAAACTTTTCTTTTTTTTTTTCTTTTTTTAATAAATGTGGGACCCACCACTAGTTGAGTCACAACATGAGAATTGAATTCTCATACAACATGAGAAAATCAAACCCCATTAATGTTATTATCATAATTTAATTTTGGGTTTATGTTTATTATTTTAAATGACATAACTTATGTCATTTTAAAAAATAGATAGATACAATAAATAAAAATAGGGAAAAATGTTTCTGCAGGTAATGCAGATAAGTTATCTGCATTTATTCCCAAAATGACGTCGTTTTAGTATTGAAATCTTAAAAAATTAGCTGATTTCTTAGCTTCACATGCGTATAGCTTTCCATGGGATGTGCAAGTCTTTGATGACCCTCTTCCTGGCTGTCTTCAAAGTTTATACAGCGACACTGTAGGTGTTCGCTGGGCTAGGTTCTGTACTTAGGCCTTTTTGCTGTGTTTTTCATTTCCTTTATCTTTCAAAAAAAAAATCTTAAAAAATTATAAATATAAAGACTATTATAACCTTAAAATAAATTAAAATTACAAAAATACCACGATTTCCGTCCAAAACGACGTCGTATTGGGCATACTGCAGATAATTTATCTGCAGTAACTGTAGAAAAAGTGAACCCATAAAAATAATGGGAGAGAAAGTGAATGATTTTTTTTAATTTAAATTTTAAATAAAAAAATAATTTCTTGTGTCTATCTCTCTTCTAAAATAACATAACTTTATGTTATTTAAAATGACAAATACTCTTTTATTTCATCATTGATTTTTGCGGGTAAAAGTTATTATTTATTATGAATTTATAATTAATTAATAAATTTAATTTATAAAAATAATAATCATTGATTAACTAAAATTAATGGTTAAAATATAATAATGATATTGATATTAACATTATTTAACAATAACAATATTTTATCCCTATAAATATTACGATACTGCACCAAAAAAACTTTTGCTGATGAGAAAATAAAGACGTGGGATCACAAAAAAAATTCTCTTTTATTTTCTCTCTATTTTTTTTTTAATGCAGCAACATAAGATATATAAACCTCTTTAATTATTTATGAAAATAATATTTTTGATTTTTCTAAAAAAATTAGTGAACCCATTTGAATTTACGTAACTGACAACAATAATTTTCTGCATCAAAAGTAGAAAAAGAGTTTAATTATTTGTTTGTTTATTTATTTACTATGCTATTTTTTCCCTTTCAGTTAGTATCTTTGGTAAGCTAGAATTTAGGAATAATTAATCCTGATCGATTATTGGATCAAAGGCTAAACTCTCCGATTACTTTTTTTACCATAATAATGTAGTATATTATTTACATAACTAATGTATATCCACTGCAAAATTTCAGCCTTACTTGATTTTCTCTTCTATGTATTTGTTCTATTTGCCTCCTTGATTATCTCAATTTCCTTTTTCTTTATTAAAGTGATTGCTTTCTCATTGTATTATTCTTTGTGCAGAGATAGCATTAATCTCAAATTGTAATTTGTTTTCATCCATGGCTTAATTTTATTTTTTTTGGTTTACTTTCTTAACGAGGTGTTCTTACTTCTTCTTACTTTTAGCTGTACGTTAATATGCAAAAAACCGTAAATTTAAAATGAACATACCTGCAATTTAAATTGAGAATTTTCTACAGATGTATATAATAATTTGAATCATCTACCTAGCTACCCCTTCAATTAATAAAACTTTATAAATTACATAAACCGTTGCCTAAAAGGCTAATTTAAATAACAAGCTTGCTGCTTTGGACCTTTGTTATGTATCTTAGGGTGTAAGTAGACTAGGTTAGGCTAAGCTTTGATCTAAATAGGCCAAGCTTATATAAAAATATTGGATATGGCCTGACCTATTAGTCTATGTAGACTCCAAATTACAAGTCTGGTCTGACTTATATTTAAAAAATAAAAGTCTTGTCCTAAGTCTGTTAGCCTGTTTAAACCTATTAAACATTCAACAATTAAAAGAATAACTAAAATATTATTATTTTATTATTCAAAATTATTAAATAATAATTTTATTTATTATATTTTAAATAAATAATATGATATAGGCCAGCCTTATTGGCCCAATATGTACAAAAAAGTCTAGGCCTATTTTATTTTATTATTTATAATAGGCTCAGTCTCTGGCCTAATATAGGCTAGGCCGTAGACCCCTGTAAGCCGGCCTAGTCCATTTACACCCCTCCTATGTATGTCCAATCGAAATTATAGACAATGATCAAAATAAATAATAAAGGCCTAGATGTATGTACATATATGAACGAAGATAACCCAAAGTTATTAAAATCTATGCCAAAGTTTGTGGCTTTGTTTGAGCCAATTTGGTAACGATGGACACAGCAACAGCACAAAGATTCTCCACATATCGATTACTATCCTTGAGAGACGAAGTATTCGTGTCCTTGCATTTCTTCTCACATGAAAGAGCCAGGTTTCCAGCAATAAATACACCTTGTTTTACACCCTTATAGTCACCTTTGTCCATACAAGTTATAGCCTCTGGCAAAAGCACCTTCACTATCTTGGTGTAAGAAGCAGTGCAACTAGCCAAAGCATTTTTCTCTTGTGGGTCATTGGTTTGCATGTAAACCTTGTGAACGTGCTGTAGCGTGGCTGAGGCATTGGCAGCGACAATCTCAATGGTTGTTCGAGCACAACTAGCAATGTCAACACTTGATCTTCGATGTTGTGAATATTGTAAATGTGAATTTAACGTCAAAACGCAAAGGTGGTAATGAGGTGTTTTACGACATATTTGATCCACTAACCTTGTTTTTGGTATAGTACATTGGATTTGTGGGATGAAGAAGATGGATAAAGTGGCCAAGTGAATGAGCATGATGGGTGAAAAACTTGAATACTTCATTTTCTTCAGATAAAACTAATTCTAATTCTCTTAATTGCTTAAAGAACACAAAGGTTAGGAGGATAATTAGGTTTAGTCTATTGTTCTAATTAAGGACGTTGGATGATGCCAAGGCTTTATAAGAGGAATGAAGCGAATGATTCGAATTTCGTACCATTTTAGGAAATATATTTTGACGCTTCCCGTTGTGTTCGCGGGTCCCCTCAAGGGTATTGTGGTTCAAAATGATTCAACTGCTCTTTATGTGTTGATTTCTATGCAAAAATTTTCATGTGCTTTTAATTTTGATTATATTTAACTCTTATTGGACCTATAAAATGCATGGACAAAGTTTTACTCTAAAAAAGACACGGATGCAAATGCAGGCCTTTTGCCTTGTGTATGAAACCCTTTATCTTATAAATTTAAAAGCCTATTTTAAAGACAACTGTCTATAGATTTTTTATTAAAAAAAAATTTAAGCTTTACCATGGTATATCACATACAAAATCATTTTGTAAATAAAACTAATAAGTACTCCGTACATTTAATGAACATTTTTAAATTTAGATAAAATATAAAAAATATTTTAAAAAATAAATAAATTATAAAAGAGACTTGTATAGATGATTCAAGTAAAATCTAATAACTATGTACCAAAAAAATTCTAATAACTGTAGATTTAAACATAAAAAAATTATAAATTATAAATATGATATAAATAATGAATTCAAAATAAATTAGATTAAAAAAAATATTAAGAATATATTGAGAAAATTAACCACGTTTAAGAAGGTAGACTCTAATTTAAGATATACTAGACAAAGTGCGATCATATATACTAGAACTAATGCAATGAATCCCATCAGAATATCGTAATTATGCGTGCTTGGGCGAGAGTAGTACTAAGTGACCTACTAGGAAGTCCTCGTATTGCACCTTTTAAAGTCTACCCAATATATATATATATATATATATATATATATATATATGAGGTAGGATCCTTTGACACCAATGTCACAATTCAAATTTAACACCTTATCTGAGAGCCGTTAGATCAAAAAAGATCAACGACTCTTATTTGCAAGCATATGACACCATTGATCTTTTTTGATCTAAAGGCTCTCAGATGAGATGTCAAATTTGAATTTTGACACTGATGTCAAATAATCCTACCTCTCTCTCTCTATATATATATATATATATATATATATATATATATACTAGACAAGGATGAATTCCGTCTATAATAATGAATTTTATACTTGATACTACAAATACTATCAACTTGATAGTATTTGCTATAATATTGTTTGAGAAAAAATCCTTAAATTATTAAAAGGATTATACCTGCGGCTACTATAAGATAACGACTAAAAGAAGATGAATTAGAAATTGTAAAAGAATATTTATTTTGAAGACAAAAATTGTTTCTTTATTTGTAGGTAACCTTAGTTTGATATATATTAGAGATAATCGTGTTATGAAATCAATTGAAAATGTAAGAGAGGGTGAAATATGAAATAAAATGAAATAAATTATAGAGAGGAAAACAAAAGATGAGCTCTTGAAAAATATGAAAATATCACTATATTCTAAATTCATAAAGAACACATCTTTGACATCTAAGACACGTTTTTATACATGATCCTAAAAACATAACTAGAAAAATAATTGTAATTCAACACATTATTAATAATAATGTGATAGTTATAGCAAAGATTATAAAAAAGCAAAAGATATGAAAAGTTATTCACAATATTTTATATTTGATATTATTATTATTATTATTATTATTATTATTATTATTATTATTAATTTATCCATATTTGTTTAATAACGTTATTTATTTGTAGCTGCAATATTCTATTTGTAACTAGGACTGATAAAAAGTTAGTGTGCGTCGTACTCCATATTCTATTTGTAACTGCAAGCATACCTGCAATATCATCCACTATGCAGGCGTTTGCACCGAGTCACAATCCTCCCCTAACCGCCGATCGCACGAACAGAAGGCACCACGAAAGCGAGATTATCTTCTACAGGGCAGGCGTACGTGCATCTGCAATTAGAAAAATGACAAATGAATTAAAAATTATTTTTTTCTTTTTTTATAAGAATAACACAGTTTATTGCTCTATTTCATTGGCTGGTCACACAGAGTGTACTGTGCAACCGCTGCACCATAGATATTTCCTACGAAAGCAGCGCTGCAAAATGGAGAAAAAATCGTGTAACTGCATTTTTGTCTTTACTTTTGCCAGTCAAATTATTGCTAATTTTATTTTACTTAATACCATTAATGTTTAGAGAATAAAAAATACTAAATATTAAATAAAAATAAATAATCTTTTCAATATTCACTTAGAAGTTAATAACTTCTGCATTAAAAAAAAAATTAAGGTGTGTTTTCTGGTGCGATACAATTCTAGAGAAAGCAAAAATGCTCAACTCCACCGAGTATTTTTTATTTTTTACATTATTTGAGATGATAGTACAAAAAGAGGAAACGTACTGCAGAAGCCAAAAGGCACTGCAAATATCGACGCAGCAGAGATTTTTTCTTTTCTTAAGTTCTCATTCTCCTTCAACCACACCCAACAGCATTCAAAAAATATGGCCATTACCGTCGAGCACACTCGCTATGACAACCGCATCATATACACCGTCGACTTTCACGGGAACGAAATCAACGTCACTGTTACGGCCAAAGCTTCCGTCGTCAGAAAGTGGCTCTCCACCACGCTCTTTTTTCGCCGCCGCGACCTCTTCGAAAACCGTTTCGTTGTTGGACTCGGCGTCCAATGGACTCCCGGCGGAAGAGAATTGCCAGATCCTCCGGCGGATACTTTGCAGCTTTGTGTCGGTAGCCGGTGCCTCATCTTTCGACTCCGTGTACCGTTGATCCTCCGGAAGTTCCTCCTAAACCCTAACCACACCTTTGTTGGATTTTGGAACTCTTTGGATAGGAATAAGCTCGAGTCTTCAGAGCACAGGTTGCGTATGTACGAGGATCCTATTGATCTGAGGAGGCACGTAGGTGAGGACCTAAGACAGGCTTCCGTGAGGGACATTGTGGAAGACGTTCTCGGCTATGAAGTGGAGCGGGGAACGGAGATAAGCAGGAGCAATTGGGGCAAAGTGATTCTTAGCCACAAGCAGGTAAGGTATGCAACCGTGGATGCTTACTGTGCGTTCCTCATCGGGAAGCTTATAAGAGCTTGAAATATGAGGTAAAACCGATTTAACTCTCTACTCATCCGTTCGAACTAATTAGTAACAAACATATAGTACAGTGCTAGCTGTCAACTCTGTCCAAGATCGTGTTTACTGGTAAATTTCATCGATAGAATCATGAAGCTATGGTGTTTTGCTTGTGATTGTGATTGAGAGTGTGTTTTTTGGTACACTGTTAAATGTTGACGCTGATTGTGAAGCTATGGTGTTTTGCTTCATTTTTTATTTTTATTTTTGGTAAACTGGGTTTATTTCTTTTCTGAGTTTATTATGTTTGTTCTTGGTTCATTTCTTTTCTGATTTTATTCTCTTTGCTCATTAACGGTGATTTGACAGTACAGTAGGTATTACCATATTTTTCTACCTATCGACCTAGGTTTTATAGAGATTATGATCCTATCCTACCTTCATTATTTCCAAACGTATTCGAGTTTAATTGACACTTGAATAAAAAATGAAACGAAAATGAAAAAGGGGTTATAATCTTTGTATCGAAGAAGAGGTTTACCGATCTTAGTATTTTGCGGATTATTAATTTTTTTTTTGAAAAAACTATAAAACTATAGATAGTTAATGAGTGATACGAGAGAGAGATTAGTATGAACTTGTGTATACGATTTCAGTGAAAAAAAAAAAAAAGACTCTTTTCATGTTTGCTGTTGATTCATGTTTATAATTATCCTACATATAAACAAGTGTACGGCATCTGGTTTTCTTTTTTATTTTTAACACACATGTCAATTTTATGATTAGATGTGGGATTTATTAAACAATAAGAAAATAATTATGAAAATAACTTGATTCTTAATATGTTGTTTCTCTGTAATATCTCTCACAGCTTTGTGCAACACACAAGTGTTATTCATTTATTTAAAAATATTGAACAATGTAGAAGTATCAACTCTATACAACGTGACGAAGATATTATGTATTTTTTATTTTATTTTTTATAAACAAGATATTATGTATTAATTCGTAGGACTGTTTGCACAGAACTTATTTATACAAAATATTATTTTTCTATTAAGAATGACTAACCATGCTTAGGGGCAACTTTTATATTCGCATAATAAGAAAAGAGTGCTTAGTTATGAATGTGGACGAAAGTTAATAGGACGTAGTATTGCATATATATATATTGAATGTAACCGGTAATAGTTATGCTCAAAATAAAATTATTCAAACCGTTCTTTTTGTAGTAGATATCAGCAGCATGTAGTTAGTGTTATTAATACATGAATTACAGGTTTGGTGCAAATTACATGCACAGAATTTGGAAATTTGAATATTGAAACGACGCATCAACATTTTTTAATATTTGGACTAATAAAATAAACAAAAGGTATAATTTTTTTTTAAAGAAAATATCGAGTGAGAGTCGTCCATAATAAAATTGATAATAAGAAGTGATAAGAAAAAAATGGTAAATATTATTTTTATTATTTTGTTTTCAAAATATAGAAGTTTATCTTCTCTCTATTCTTTTTTTTTTTTTTGGAAATATATTGTCTCTATTCTAAATCCTATGTTTTAAACATATTCATATATTGTTTAGAGATAAAAATAAAAAATATTGAATATAAAGTAAAAATACTTAACGCTTTAAAAATGTAAATAACATTTGAAACTTTATTTTGATAAATACAAGCATCTAATTTTCGTTGGGTCATAATTTTTTTCAATATAAATGGTAATTACTAATCTCTTCAACTTCATGTAGAAGTTAATAACTACTACATTTTTTGCAATAAAACAAAAATTTTGGGACCATGTCTGTTTTCTGGTGTATATTATTACTTTGCCAGTTTGCCTGAATTTATGACTACCAATTACGAAGGGCAAAATAAAACTGCTGTGATAAGTTCTCTTTTGGTAGAGGTTTTTGGTGGAGATAACCAGGCAATTTTTAGTGGTATTTTAACATAACTATGTTTGGTAGAAGTTTCAAAAAAATTTAGGCTCTGTTTGAATACTGTTTTCAAAAACAGTTTTTTAGTTTTTAGAACAAAAAAACTCGTTTGGTAAGACCTGTTTTGTAAAAAAAAAGTTTTAAAAACTGTAACTGTTTTTTTTTTTTTTTTATAATCAAATTTAGAGAACATGTCTGAGTTGTTTTTATTTTCTGTTTTAGTTTTTAATTTTCAAAATAAAAAAAACATAAAAAACAACTGTTTCCATAATTATTCTACAAAACAGTTTTAAGAACAAAAAAATCAAAACACAATTAAACAGACCTTTAATCATGTAAATGCTTTACCCAGCCATTATGTTTTGTTTGCAAAATTTGATGAAAAACATTGTTTAAAAAACCAAATGGAAGGTGGTATTTTCGTTTGCTGGGAAAAGAAAAAATAGAGCATAAATTTGGAGACTCAAATTCCCCTGATTTACTTTTGGGAAAAGTGGACTTTTCAAAAAACCAGATGAAAGATGATATTTTCGTCTTTTCAATCTATTTTTTTTTTAATATTTTATCTTTAACCAAACATAAATTTAAAAAAATTTGTTCAGTTTTTTTGGTAATATTTTAGCTTTACAAATAATTTTTTTTTTAATTTTTTTACCAAACTTATTTTCTCACTATATTCTTAGTAATAATATTTCCTTAAAAAAAAAAAAATTTCCCTCTGTCAAACACTCATGATTTACTTAAAATTCAGAGCTTCCACCTACGTTGAGCCAGAAACGTACGTCCGTAGCCACCTGCGAGTCGCACTAGGAGCACGAATCTCCCGCTTCCCGCTTCTACCACGATAGTGACCTTTTTCAAAATTTAGAGCTTTATAGATGGGTTTTGGTTCGTAGTCAAAGCGGTCTCGTTGATTTGTCTTGTGTGTTAATATTATTACGAAATAGGATTCAATTTTTGTTTCTCCTCAGATTTTGGGTTCATTTTCCATACCTTGCCAATGATCCAGTTTCATTTATTGGGTTGAATTTTATTTTTCCAAGGGTCGATAGGTTGAATTTCCTTTTATGTTTCGGTTTGGTCACAGTGAGTGTTACTATAAAAGTATGTTGTCAGAGATATTTATTAAAGAGATATCTAATTGGCTCAAGGTTAACATCTCAATCGCTACACAAGATAAGCTTATAATCGAGTTGTAGGTGTCTGTGCTTAATGTTTACAGCAAGGGTAATTAAGTTATAAAATGTGTACCTACGTTAACTCTCTTTTTATAGAAGAGGTTTTCTGTAGGTTTAGAGTTCTCTTAAGAATGTGATTATCTAATTCTTTGATATTTAAGATATTATGTGAATAAGTTTTATCGTTATTGAATAAGTTGTTGAGATATGAATCTAGTCCATAATAATTGTCCTCAACCCTATAGTTTGAGAGCTCGAACTGCCCGGATGTGTATATTTCAAAAAGACCTCGATTACAGGCCTTTTGACCATGATGATGTGAGTTTTAAAATGTATCTCCGGAATAATTTGTGGATGAAAAGTTTTGCCAATATAATGCATGACAACGCGGTTGGGAAATTGACGCTTAAGGACGTGATACGATCAATGCCGCGTTCTGTACAATATTTTGGCACTGTTATCCGTGTCCTTAAGACGTGATACCATCCCTACCATGTCCCTGCTACGTTCTGTACCGTGTCCTTAGTTCTGTACCGTTGTCCTTAAGACGTGATACCATCCCTACCACGTCCCTGCACATTCTGTACCGTTGTCCTTAAGACGTGATACCATCCCTACCACGTCCCTGCTACGTGCTGTACCGTGTCCTAAGACGTGATATATTAAGTGTCGCGTCATTGCAACCAATCACTTCCAGTCAGTCCACGATGCACCAGACGCGGTAGGTAATCAAACATGTTCCGGTTAGTCATTTCAAAACAAATGTGACGCTGGTTCAAACGCGTCCAATTAGCCAATCAGATTTCTCCATGGACTGTGGGAGTCCTGAAAATGTCTCTTCCCCAACCGTGTCCGGGCCTATATTAACTACCACTCCCGGTTCCCATATCATCAGTTTGCCTCTGCATTTCACTAAGCGTTAAGGCCTTCTGGTATCTATCTTTGTTCTATACTTTTGTTGAAGTGTTTGTTCTGTTATGGAAAAAAAAAATGTTGAGCTGTTTGTTCTTTTACGGAAAAAAAAATGTTGAGCTGTTTGTTCTTTTATGGAAAAAAAAATGTTGAGTTGTTTGTTCTTTTATGAAAAAAAATGTTGAGCGTTGTTTGTTCTTGTGGAAAAAAAAAATGTTGAGTTGTGTTGTTTGTTCTTTTATGGAAAAAATAGTATTTCAAACTCAATGTTCCATACTTTCTCTGTTGCTTAGTTGAAGTGTTTTTTGTAATATGAAGAAATAAATTTATGAATATCAGATTATGTTCATAGTTAATCATGCTTTTTATTTGTTATTTCATGTATGCTTTATACTTTAGTATTTATTTTCCACTAAAAATTTATCATAGTAATTATATGTTGTATGTAAAAAAATAAAGACATTTTCAAGGCACCTCAGGTAATATTATTTCATACGTTGCACTAAGTAGTAGTTTTGTTATATTGCATTATATTACATAGTTTCTACCATATTAAATATTTTGTATTTCTATCTTTTGTGGAATTTTTTGCAGGAAAAATGAGTTCGAATTTACAAACAGTTCGTGCACTTATATATTATAATGGTAGAAAGATTATGGGTCGTCGTGGTGTAACATTTGAAGGTGAAAAACGACCAATGCGTATTACACGCGGTACTACCTTTGCGCAGTTGAAAGCGAACATGCATCAGAAATTGGGATTACAAGGGAATCAACGTATTTCTGAAGTCACCGTAAGAGCTTTTGCTGGCAATTCTGAATACACAACGATATCTATTACAGATGATGATGATGTTGACATTATATTAGACATATTTGTGGAACAAGCTGACACGAGTTCTGATCATACAAATGGTAGAAAGTTTGTGGAGATATATGTAAATATTGAAAATACCGATGATTTGTCAGTACCGCAAAGGTCGCTTGAT